TTCTCTCCATTCTGTTAAATAATAAAACTGCATAATTAGATACGTGTGTGGTGGGATTAGGAGGGCCCGCCACAATACCTAAAATTAAATGTTTTGATCAAATGAAATCCATATAGTGAAATATACTGGTCTTTAATAGTACACTAATAGAAACTGAGACTAGTTGAAAGAGGTTAATTCCTTATAATATAATAAACTAAATTTCAAATTTTTTATAAAAGAAGTGTTTGTAATTAATATTCGGCAATGTCTCGAACAGATAATAAAGGTACAGTTTAATCAAACAATTTGAAATTAAATTTTAACATAACAAACTCTTTATATAAAATCTTTTTATTAATGGTATTGATTTAATAAATATATGAAGTTATACATATTTAATACTAATTATTATTTATATGGAGCATATATATGTTCTTACCCCTTGCAATTATTTTCTGATTCCATGGTGACGCGTCTAAACACTGCCCGCAAGGGACAATGAAGTGCGGTCACGGAGGGATGTAAGATAAGTAAATAAATATATTCAATATAAAAATAAAATTCACCATATAATGAATTTAATTATTAAATAAATTATAGACCGTGTATTTTATCTTTGTAGGGATCTTTATGACGAGGGAACATATGTGGGTGCTTAAAAAAGTGAGACGATAAAGCAAATTGGACCATGAATGAAGTGTATTGAAAAGAACTAATCACTCTCATTCAAAAAAAAAAAAAAAAAGCAACTAATCTATTATCTTCCACCGCAACGCAAACAATCCATTGATCAAGAGCCCACGTTACTTTCGATCGAAGTCATTTATGGGAAGGACATTGAAAGCAACGCCAACAATGATATCAAACCCTACAAGGACCCCTTCCTCAAACCCCTTAGTATATAAAAATAACAGGGAACCTCACGGAAGAACCCGAGCGAAAAAGAAAACGCAGAAAAGAACAGATATTAAGGTCAGCCACAAAACAAAAGAATAAAGATAGAATAAAGGGGAAAAAAAAACCCAATAATTATTAACCTAGCCAAGACAAATCGGTTCTCCAAAATGGATATTCTATTCTGATAAAAGCTGTCAAGAATCGTGCTCATCCGATCCCTCTGTCTCGCTTGAACGTCAAGACAAAAGACCAGTACTGTTCATGTACAGATCTTCCATCAGCATTCAGCTCTATGGCCGCGAATTACGTACCTAACAGTTTGTTTCCTTTATTTTGCTGCCACCCTCATCAACATAAAGGATAAGACTTGCTTTTAATAATAAGAACTGGTGTTTTACTATGCGACCCCAGAATTTATAAACTCCTATTTAATTATGTACCAACTTAGAAAGGAAGAAGAATGGGGAGTGATCAGAGAATGAGCGTTAAAATCAAGCAGAAGTCGCCAATCTGGGAGGCTCATCATTGCAAAGGAGGCACGCAAACGCAGAGCAAGTACTCGGAGAACAAATTATCTGGGCAGACCACAAAATTTGTGGCTGCAGATCGTGGGCCAACCCTTGATCACTTCTCCTTTTCATACATTCCACAAGCTTTTAGATTTCCATGTCTTTTTACGCGTAATCGAATCCGAGTAAACAGGCTTTGCGTGCATATAGATATATATATATATGTAAAGGTAGAGAGAAATGGGGAGGAATATAACGTGTTTGACCCTGAAGGGGGCATAATGATGATGCTTTTGAAGGAAGGAGGGACAAATTAGAGATCCACGTGTTCCACTTTGAATGAGTTTCATCCGCAAGTGTTTGGAAAGGAATCCCAGAAACCATTGCAGGCCTTTACTTTCCCATTCAAACACAAATTAATTCCTTTTCATTGCTTCATCATGTGGTCACCATGAAGTAGTGCGCGTGATCTGGAATACAGGATTTGGCAATCACGGATCGGTGATTTTATGTAAAGCACGCACAGATTCGTGCGTTGACAGAAAAAAGGCAGTGTCTGTGCGATGATTGGTTATGTCTGAAGTCCAAGAATTCATTTGATGAACTCTAACCCCTGCCAGTATGCCACCAGTGACCAAAGACCATCTTTTGTTTTGACCTCCCTCAAAATGATTTCACCAAAGTGTTTGCAGCAACTTTCCGCGCATCCTTTTTATATCATCCTTGTTGTGAAGGAATGCAGAGAAAATGCGTAAAAAGTTACAGCAAATGATAGTAGTATATTCAGTAGGTATCCACCATCATACACTGTGAACTGCTCTACCTACTGGGGGAAAAAAAAAAAAAAGATCCATAAACAACATTGATTACCGATCATGTTCAGAAATCCTGCCTCGCAAGAAAAAGAAATGCCACCTCGTCATCCTACCTTTTTCACTTGCTTCTCGGGCCACTAAGTTGAATAGTAGTATATCTGTCATAATTAATACTAACTTTGATTTTTAATATAAGATTTCATTTAACTTTTATTTTGATCCTAATTATAAGATCTCAATCCATTTTGTCTTTCATATTTATGTATTTTCTCTCTCAAAATAATCACTTTAACAATGGTAGTTCTAACCAATAAACTTGATTAGTAAGGATATTTTAGAAAAAAACAACACCTATTTATTATAAATAAATAACTTAACTTATTTTTTTAATTTTTTTAAATTAATCAACTAACTCTTATAATTATAACTGAAAGTGATAGTAATAATAATAATAATAAAGATATTATCAATGACACAGAGGCAGCGTTGAAGTGGAAAACGAGGGTCGGAGCCCAATTCGAATAGCTTAAACAGAGCCCACTTTCAACGGAAAGAATGGAGTGCAGAGCCCAATAAATTCTTGGGCTACATTTTCAATCCTGTCGGCCCAATAACGCGCAATCATCATCGCCCTGCAGAATGCAGTTCTGCACAACCAAATTATTGATATGTCCATGGGATTATTGTAATAGAAAATGTCATCACCTGTCGGCAAAGAAAAGGAAGAATAAGACGTCGTTATTGTTGTTGTAAGTGTTTTTTTTAACTTTTTTTAATTTAATAACATTTATTTTATTTGATTTATTGGTTTATCAAAATTGTAATGTCAAATTTCAATAATAAGACTGAATTAAATAAAATGACCGCAATTAGTCTTTCATTTTGAAATTAAAATAAAATAATGGTAAATATAAAAGTATTTTTCATCTTTGCTGTTTTGATATGATAAAATTCGTGTCATTTTTTCCATTCATTTTATTTGGATAGATACCAAACATATAATTGAGACAGCTGCCTTCTCTTTCGCCTCTTTTGGTTGCATCCACCACGCCCCGTCCCCACGAATCCGGGAATCCTACCAGCTAAAAGGAATATATTAAATTTTAATTTTATCATCTCACATAAAATGTGTGACGTACCGACCCCTTGACTTTCGGATTATACAGATAAATTGAGGGAGAAAAAAAAAACAGAGAGTATGCACATGCATGCGTATGGACAAATTTAAGAGGGATGCAGTTATTTTAGCACAAACAATAAAATATCAGTATGTTCGGTTTTTTTTCCTACTAAAATTTTAGGTGAGTTAAGTCTCAAAAAAATCATTAGAACTGGAACATATCTATTTTTTTTTACCAGCAATAAAATTGTGACCATATCCGCATTAGAAGATTAGTTTGTGTATAATGTATCGAATGATACCGATACTGATAATAACTTGATTCACGGGTCCATTCCCTTTTTAGGGATTTTTTTTTATGATACTTTTCTGATCTTAAATATAAAACCCTTATATATATAAAAGTTTTAGGGATAATTAATCTTCAGGTCCTTATAGTTTCATCTGATTTTTAATTAGGTCCTTATAAAATTTTTTCTTTTTATCAGCTCCTTTTACTTTCGTGTGTTTTTAATTAGGTCCTTCTATTTTTTTTTCTTTTTATCAAGTCCTTATAGTTTCACTTATTTTTTAATTAGGTGCTTTGTAGTTTTTGAAAAATTATTTATTAACTTTATTCTTTAAAATTAATTTCATTTTTAAATTAATAATTATATAATTGGAAAAAATAATTAATATAATCATTTAGTAATTAATAAATAATCAGAATAATAATTATACTTAAATATAAATTATTTATAATCATATTTTAATTTTAGAAAAAATTATTATTATAATTTGAATTTTATAATTATAAAAATTTGAATTGAAAATAAATAATATATTTGTTTAAATAAAAATTTAAAAGAATATTAACATAAGATTGTTACAATAATTTATTATTTTTAAAATGTTATTATTTGTAAAATAAAAAATAAAAACTACAAGGACCTCATTAAAAACAAAGTAAAACAATAAGGACCTGATAAAAAGAAAAAAAATTATAAGGACTTGATTAAAAATATATGAAAGTATAAAGACCTGATAAAAAGAAAAAAAATTATAGGTACCTAATTAAAAACCAATTGAAACTATAAGGACTCATATATTAATTATCCCAAAGTTTTATATTTAAAACTGAAAGAGTGTTAATAATGGAACAGTCTAATTGAAAAAAATTTTAAAAAAAATAGCACCGAGTTCTCCAGACTGTAGCCTAGCCCAATGAGCCCTCGAATCTGGTACAAAATGTAGCCTAACCCAATCACAACGACCCGTCGAATCTGGTGAAAAACTAGAAATACCTTTTTTCTTCTCTTCCTTCTTTCCAATTTTTGGGCAAGATAGGATGACAATGATGTCGTTGCCCATCGGCTTTTGCTCCCAATTTTAAACAACGAAACCCGCTCTTCAGTTCGCTCCCATGCTCCCGTTCGGTCTCCACACCAAAACAACACCGAAGACCTCCTTTTATCTTCGTCGTCGTCATCAACAGTAGTAGACACCAGCAGAGCTTCGTTAGACCACCCACACCCGGGTTCTCTTATGTATTTCCTCATCGCCTTGCTTTTCTTTTCTTTTCTTTTTCTGCCCCCTTTTTAATCCTGTTTTCCAGATTTCGTTTCGGATTTCTGTATAAAGTTGAGCTTACTGGCCTCAAGTTCTGTTGAAACAAGGAACTTTACTTTTGGTAATTGAAGATGGATGGCTCCCCCTCGATTTCTCTTGATTTTCGTCGAGAATGAAACTTGAAACTTTGCTGTTGAAGATCGGAACTTAGCTCTTGGTTTCTCTCCCTCTCTGTGGAAATGTTATAATCAAATGAGATTTTGAGATAGTGAATCCTTTTGGTTGATGCTTTTACATGCGTATCACTTGATGTTCGATGTAATTTATACATGCAAGGGATGCTACTCTAGGAGACAGAATTACAAACAAGGACATAAGAGATTATGAAATGACTATTATACACATGTGCCTAAGTGAATTATGTACGCACATTATTTCTAACAGTATAATCTTTGTTAGCATCTATCCTCAAAACTTCTGCTAATATTTTGTATTTTCATGTCAGCAATAATGGAAGGCAATACACAGGTGAAGGGAGACAAACTCATACTGAGGGGATTAATATTCCATGGTTTTCATGGGGTTAAAGAAGAAGAAAGGAAGCTGGGTCAGAAATTTTTGGTGGATGTGGATGCTTGGATGGATCTCAGAGCAGCGGGTAAATCTGATAATTTGTCAGATACAGTTAGTTACACAGATATTTATCGGTGAGCAATAAGTTTAAACTCTTCCTTTATGTCTTTCACAAGATTGACCCATCTGGTTCCAGTACTAGCGGGGATGATTTTCATAGATTAATCTGCTGTCTGTGGAAATTGATTTAAAATATGTTAGGATGTATAAACTATTCATGATGCTCTTGAATAGCGTAATTCCTCTAAGTAAAGTTATCAAAATTTGCATGATAATTTATTGAATGGTATGCATGAAATGAGTATTTAGTTTCTAGGATTTATTTCTCTGAAGAAGGAACTTTGCGGACATACCTCACTATCATTTTAATTAAATCCACCATTCAAGCTTTTCTGTTTTGGCTGCTCTATATGCTTCACTCACTATCATTTTGAGGACCAGAATAGGGTTTTAATCCCTTAAGCAACTATGTAATTAATATTATGTAAATGCTCTTAACAAGAATAATATGATGGCGCAGTATAGCAAAAGAAGTTATTGAAGGGCCACCTCGCAATCTTTTGGAATCAGCAGCTGAGCAAATTGCAACCATTACTCTGACAAAGATACCTCAGATATCTGCTGTTTGTGTGAAAGTTGGGAAGCCCCATGTGGCAGTTCAGGGCCCTGTTGATTACTTAGGTGTTGAGATCCTTAGAAGTAGAAGCGATACGCTAAACTAAGACGTCAAATACTCTCTGAGGTTCTGTATCTTTGGGTCTTCTGCTTGATGCAACACTTTATTTTCTACTCTTGTCCGTCTTCTCTCATTTCATTTTACCTCATTGCTATAATCATGTGACCCAAGTTTGAACTGCTAATATTTTCCCTTACCTTAATAATGTATGGCCTTGAAGGCTTTGTCAACTGCATTTGTTGCTTTGGCTGTTCTGAACTGAGATACTTATGTCATTTTGTTTTATTGTTGCCCACTCTTCTTGGCATCAACTAAATCATAGTTTTAAAAATAGTTTTAAAAATAATCATAGTTTTGGGAGAAACCAAACACCTCCTAAGATAGAAAGTAAACACGTCATTGTTCTAGCTTTTAACATGGTGAGGTTACGTTGTATAAAATAGCTTTGCTACGATAGTGCTTCGTGAAAGTTTAAACAAAGCAAAGAATCTTCACTGTGGATGAACTGGCCAGAAATTCCTCAATCATACTGAACGAAGCTTTTTCATTAAGTGTTTCATCGTCATACAGCCTGTCGTGCCAGGAATATTCTGGCTTTATATATCATGTACCAAAAAATCACCAGCTGATTGATTGATTCATATAGTTTGAAATTGGGATCTCACGATTCATCTACACAATTGTTGGAAGAACAAAAGTGATAGCAATAAGAGAGAATTCACGTGGTATATTCAACAGAGCATGAAAAATGGCAGAGGTACAGTATATACCCATTTCCCCATTAAACATCATGACCCAATTCTCTCTCCTATAACTAACTTCCCAAGAGTTACCGGAATACCCTTTTTGCAAGATAATAACAGAATCGAAATAATGACAGCAAGGATATCAGTATATCAGTATATAACATAACGACATGTATCAATACTCTCCCCTCAAAAAGCATCCTTGCCCACAAGGATGGGATTGGTATGAATAGCAGCAATGTTGAACTGTGGAAATTGCTGGTGAAGTGCGGATAGATCTTCCCAAGTAGCATCCTCAGCTTGAGCAAACTTCCAGCGGACCAAGACCTGAGTAATGGGCAGATTGTGACGTTTAATTATTCGGTGCCCCAAAATTTCCTCCGGTTCTAACATGAACTGCCCATGCTCATCAATAGGAGGCAGTGAAGAAGTGACCTGCTGATCAGCTCCCATGTGTCTTTTGAGGAGAGACACATGAAAGACTGGATGGATCCGAGTGTTAGGTGGTAAATCTAGCTCATAGGCTACAGCTCCAATTTTCTTAGTAATTTTGAAGGGTCCAAAATACTTGGCAGCAAGCTTGTGTAAGGAAGAATTATTAATCAAATTCCGCCGAAAAGGATGCAGCTTGAGGTAAACCAAGGTTCCAACCTCAAAAGAACGTTCAGTCCTATGTTTGTTGGCTTGCTGCACCATCCTGTTCTGAGCTTTAACCAGATGCTGCTTCAAAATCTGTAATACTAGCTCGCGGGCAAGGCAAGAGCGATCAACCAAATCATTAGGAGAATCCCCTGCTATGTAAGGTAAGTGTATCGGGGGAGGAGTGCCATACACAGCTTCAAAAGGAGACATGCCAATGGCTGAATGATAAGTTGTGTTATACCACAGCTCAGTTAGAGACAACCACTTAACCCATTGTTTAGGGAAATAGCTAGTCATACAACGATGGTAACATTCTAAGCATCGATTCAGGACCTCGGTTTGGCCATCTGATTAAGGATGATAAGCTGAGGAATAATGCAAATCGACCCCATAAAGTCAGAAAAGTTCCTTCCAAAACTTGCCACAAAAGATAGGATCTCTATCAGTCACAATGGACTTAGGGAAACCGTGCAGCTTAACCACATTATCAAGGAAGACTTGAGCCACTTCTACTGCTGTATAAGGGTGTTTTAAGGGCATAAAATGAGCAGATTTAGATAGTCGATCAACCACCACTAATATGGTAGTTTTAGAATAAGATGGAGGAAGACCACCAATAAAATCCATAGACAACTCGGTCCACACATGCTCAGGGATGGGTAAAGGCTGAATAAGCCCCGGAGAAGCCACTAATTCTGGTTTAAACCTCTGGCACACAGTACAGTCTCTTACAAAATTTCTAACATCCTTTTCCATGCCTTTCCAGTAGAAGAAAGAAGAGAGGCGTTTAAAAGTAGAGTGTATACCAGAGTGTCCCCCAATGCCATCAGCATGGAAATGCTGAAGAAGCTCACCTCTAAGGCCACGGTCTGCACCAACAACAAGCTTCCCGTTCCGTTTAAGCAGATTATTCTGCTAGGAATATTTAGAATGAGAAAGAGGGTCAGCTTCCAAGTCCCTAACCAGCTGCTGCAACTGATCATCAACCAACCATGAGTCTCTCACTTTATCATAAAGAGGGGAGATAGGGGCAGTAAGGGCCACGCAAGAACCTGCAGCTCGGCGGGAGAGAGCATCTGCCACGGTATTATCACTTCCTTTCCTATAGACAATCTCATAGTGCAGACCCCATAATTTGTGCAGCCATTTAAATTGATCCTGGCTCAAGTCACACTGTTCAAGTAAATGTTTCAAGGGTAGGTGATCCGTTTTGATGATAAACTTCTTCCCACATAAATAGGAACGCCACTGTTTAACAGCAAAAATGATTGCTAGTAACTCCCGCTCATATGCTGAAAGTGGTCGCTTCCTAGAGGGCAAAGTTTTACTAGCAAAGGCAATAGGATGCCCATTCTGAGATAACACTGCCCCTAACCCTGTTCCAGAAGCATCAGTCTCAACTACAAAGGTATCATTAAAATTAGGTAATGCAAGGACGGGGGGAGACAACATTAATTGTTTCAGCAAAAGGAAAGCATAAGTAGCAGCTGCAGTCCAAGAAAATGGGACATCCTTTTGTAACAGATCAGTTAAGGGTCTACTAATAGTCCCGTAATGTTTAATAAATCTTCTATAATACACGGTGAGGCCAAGGAACCCCCTCAACTCATGGATAGAAGTAGGAGTAGGCCATGATGCAATTGCCTCTAACTTCCCTGGATTAGCTTGTACTCCCCGAGCTGAAATAATGTGGCCAAGATAGTCAACTTGAGTAGCAGCAAAAATGCACTTGGATGCCTTAGCAAAGAGATGATGCTGCCGTAGAGTAGATAATGTGGTTTTTAAATGCTGCAAATGGGTCTGCCAATCCTGACTGTATATCAGAATATCGTCAAAAAATACCAAAATAAATTTCCTCAAATAGGCCTTAAAAACTGAGTTCATGAGTGCTTGGAAAGTAGTTGGCGCATTAGTCAACCCGAATGGCATGACTAAAAACTCATAGAGGCCTTTATGTGTTCGAAAAGCGGTCTTTGGAATATCATCCTCCTTCATACGAATTTGGTGATATCTAGCTCGTAAGTCCAGTTTAGAGAAGAACGTGGCACCAGTCAATTCATCTAAAAGTTCTTCTATGACCGGGATAGGAAATTTATTTTTAATGGTTGCTTCATTCAGCCTTCTATAATCAACACAAAACCTCCAGGTTCCCTCTTTTTTCTGGACAAGTACCACGGGAGCTGCAAAGGAGCTAGAACTCTCTCTAATGATACCGTTAGACACCATATCTTGTACCTGTTTCTCAATTTCATTTTTCTGAGCTGGACCATATCGATAGGGTCTGCAAGTGATGGGCCTATCATCCTGAAGAGAGATAGAGTGGTCAAACTTGCGAGAAGGAGGTAAGCTCTTAGGCTCGGCAAAAACATCTTGGAAATCTTCCAATACTGACTTTAGTGCATGCTGTTGATCAGGACTCAGATGAGAATGAGACAGACCAACATGTAAGTTAGAAACGGTCTGGATAAGGAAAGCAAGGGCAGCAATCAATAGATCCCGGGAAGAGGAAATTTCCTCCATCCGACCCAACTCTTTATGGCCAATACCATAGAGCTCGACTTCGGTACCGTTGAACATGAATTCAAATGTTTTTAATTTCATATCCATAGAGAATTTACCGATTGTACGCAACCACTGAGTGCCCAGTATCATATCATATCCCCCCACTTTCATAACCAAGAAATCAGCCGAGAATACAGCAGTACCCATGCCCCATGAAAGATTAGGACAATGTTTAGAGACTATTACCTACCTCATATCAGCCACTGTGAGTCGTACAGGGGAACGCTCTTGGGCTTTCAACTAGAGACGCCGAGCTGTGGAAGCATCCAACACATTGTGTGTGCTGCCCGTATCGATTAAAATAATCACCGTCTGGTTCTTTATCCGTCCTACTAACTTCAGAGTAGATGCTGCCTCGTTCCCCTCAATTGCGTTGATAGTGCCTTCCTCTGGTGGAACAACTTCCAGCGCATCCTCAAAGTGATCTTCATCATCATCAACCACAAGCATGAAGAGGTGCGAATCCTTGCAACGATGCGTGGGCGTGTATTTTTCTGAACACCAATAACAGAGCCCTTTTCCCCGGCGGTCGTCCATCTCTTTTTTAGAGAGCTGGCGTGAAGGTTTCGAAGCCGATGATTGCGACGGGGAGGAAGCTGAACCCGAGTAGGAAGATGGCTTAGGTGACGGTATGGATTCGGTTGCCTTGTGGTGGACCAGCCCGGAGATAGCACTTGATGGGCCTGACTGTGAGCCCATTGGAGTAAGGGACTTTGACCCATAGGAGTCAAGCATCAGACGGGGAGAAGAAGAATTCACTCGACGACCGAATGTACTGGCAGGAGCATGGTCGTGCAGCGCTGTGATGGTAGCTTCCTACATTCGGGCACAGTGCATTGTGCGCGACAGGGATGACTGATTGAAATTGAGCACAAATTTCTGAATGTCCGTGCACAATCCCCCGATAAACAAGCTAATCTCTACTTCCTCCGGAATGTCGACCTCCGAAAGGAGCTCATCGAATTTTTTTTCATAGTCACTAACAGAACCCGAAGCTTGCTGAAGCATCTTGAGGGCAATAGTGGGGCTCTCTTCATGAACATCAGCGAATTTCTGCTCCATGTGGCGGAAATACTCCGTCCAAGTCAAGTCAGCAAAGGAACGATGGCGCATGAAGGTCTGGTGCCATTTCAGAGCGTGACCCTCCAGGTGGATGCTGAGCAACCGGATGCGTTGCTCTGGGGGTGTGGCGTCGACTTCAAAGAATTGCTTGCACCGATAGGACCAGCCCCGAAAATCCGATCCGTCAAAACGAGGAAACTCCACCCGGGTGTGCTTGGTAGGAATGTGGTATGAGGACGGTGATGGTGTATTATCGGAAAAAGAGCCGAAGGTTGGCATAT